GAGACAGTCTCCCTATCTCTCTAAATTGTCCAGTCTGGGTTCAAATTTGACATCCTCTTGCCTCAGTTTCCCAGCGTGCTGAGATTACAAGCGTGCACGCCTCTGCCTGGCTAGGAAAGCATTATTTCCGGGACTGCCTTGGTCGCTGATTTGCTGGGAGACTTGGCACAAGTCTTAGCCTGCTCTGGGCCTCGAGTTTCCACACGTATGAACAGAGCAGAACTGGGCTGCAGTCTGTACGACCCTGGATAAGCCCCTACCAGCTCTGCGCCTTAGGGTCCTCACCCGGGCAGAGGAGACCAGCCCGCTGTCCCCGAGGGGTCCCGAAGGATTAAACAGCGCGAGGCTCTGGCCTGTTCGCCTCAGCTGGGCAGGGCTGGGACCACCCGGCCGGAAGAGGCCCCGCCCCATCCCTCCGCGGCCCCGCCCTCGAGACGAGCCTATAAATAGTTCCGGCGGCCTGGCGCGGCGCTGCAGGCCGGCTATGGTGGGCTGCGGCTCAGTCCCCTGGGAGGCTGTGTGGCTGAGTCATCAGCCCAGAGGCTGCGACTGTCCCCACAGACAGCGCCTCGAGCTCGGACTCGGGGGGCTGCAGGAGCGAGGCTCATCTTGGATGGGTTCCAAGCCCTCCGAGCCGACGCAGGCAGGTCTGGGCGGGCACCTCTGGGTGGGCCGTGTGTGTGCGCCCCTCCCTGAGCCACCGGAGAGTGATCTCAGCCCTCCGGCGTCCCCAGACCTCCCTCTCCCCTTCCCTCGGGCCCTCTCCGCGTCTTTCTCCCTGACCTCTTTGTCCTGCCATGCGGGTGCCAGCCCCAGTCCTGCCTCCCAGGTCACCAACTGTCCCAGCCCCACTACCCGCGCCTCTCCTGCCTGATCGCAGCCAAGCTCCCCTAGCAGACAGCTGGGACAAGACACGTTTAATTAGGGCCCGGGCTCCACAGTGCCCGCAGACCCGCCATGCAGCCTGGTGTACAGTGGGCATCGGCCACCCCGGGGGTGTCGCTGGGGGGCCTCATGGCAGCAAACAGGGCAGTGTGGCTTGAACCCCCTCTGCAGGGGCAAGGGAGGAAGGTCTGTGAGGGAGGACACCTCTGTGCCTCTCACCAGGAGGGTGTGACTGTGCCCAGGAAGGGGTGGCATTGGCTGGCATGACCAAGGGCACAAGAGGAGGCTCTGAGCTCGGGGGAGGAAGCTGGCACCAGAAAAAAGCAGCCTGGAAGGGAGAGGTCCCCGTTTCTGCTCCCCTCTTTTCCTGACCTCTCCCCCTCTTCCTCCAGGGGCAGTGTCCAGGAAAAGAGGCAGATAGGGCCAGAGAGGGACTCCCTGGACGTCAGCCTGGGGACCTGCAGAGCCGGGAAAGGGGCAAGGGAGACAATCCTGCTGTTGTCAGGTGACCTGACTATGACATGGGGTGGTTTGGATCGAGCGTGGGCCAGGGTCCAATTCTCCGTTGACTTTCTGGGCCTGGGCTGCTGTGCGGTGACTGTCCTGCTTGAAAGGACAACCGTAACCTGTCACATCTGCTGAGACCTCAGCCCTGCCCACTCTGGAGGCCGGGGCTTCAAGTAATGGGAGAGATTCCTGCAGAACTTTCCTGAGAAGTGAGGAGTGGCAGAGACGTGGAGACCGAGGCCCTGCCATGGTGCTGGGTCCCCTCCCAACATGGGCGGAGGGCTGAGGGGTGCAGGAAGCCCGCAGCACTCTGCCTGCAAAGGGGCAGACCCAAGCAAAGGCTCCGAAGGCGAGGGGTCAGGCATGCAGAGGCCGTGTGGGCAGGTGGGGAGTGGCCAGATTCGGGGGTACCTGGGTGCCATGGGGAACCTACTTGCAGCTCCCCACTTCCTCCCAGTCCCAGGGGATCAACCCAGCAGGGTGCCCCGCCCAAGAAATAAAACCTTCCCTGGGGCCTCTGGCCCGGGAGAGGCAGAGGAGGCAGGTGCTGGGGTGCCGGCTCCGTTTCCATCCTGCGGGCGCCTTCAGATCTCCGTCAGGGCATCCGCTGGCACCAGGCCCCGCTTCTTGCCGCTGCTGACTCGGACAAAACCATCAGCATCTCTGCCCCTGCCCACGCCCACGCAGATCTGAATGAGACAGCAGACGGCGCTGAGCCCTGAGGCTGGCTGGGGGATGGGAGCCCCCAATGGCGCCCTTCCACACCCGCACTGAGACTGCCCTGGAACTCACTATGTAGCCCAGGCTGGTCTGGAACTCACAGCGATCCTCCTGCCTCAGCCTCCACAGAGAGTGCTGGGATGACAGGCACGTGCCACCTGTCCTGGCTCCCATCCCTACTCCCTCTCACCCAGGTAACACAGCAAGCCAGGGCCAGGCTGCCGCTGGTGTCATCCAGCCTCACCTCTGTGCCCCCCACCCCGACCCCAACCCGCACCCCTCAGGCAGGAAGGACAGGAGGCCTGGCCACAGAGTCCTGCAGGCTCCGGCCGGCCGGGGCTCACCTGGTTCTCCTTGAGGCTCAGGTGACCCTGCTCCTTGTTTCCAGGGAAAGGCCGGCAGCAGCGCCACACGTTCTCACCTGGCCTCACCCGTTGTACAAAGTTGGCCGGGAAGAAGCCCACGCGGTCGCCAATCTTGCCCTAGGAAGAGGCGGGCAGTGAACCCCAGCGCCACGTCCTGCCCTGCTGCCACCTGACTCCACTCAGCTCAGGCCCTAGGCCCCAGGTCCTGGGCTCCGGTGCAGCTGAGCAGCTTTGGGGCTGGGGGCGGGCAGAAGGACAAAGCCAGGACCAGGACGGGGAAGGTCAGAGCCACAGCAGGGCCAGGTCCTGGGAGATCTCTGGGGCTGGCGAGCAGGTGGGGGAGGCAACAAGCAGGGTTCCTCGGTGCCCCCACCACCCCGTCACCTTCCACCAGTCCTCGTTGGAGTCATCCACCAGCATGATCCGATCCCCTGGCCTGCGGAAGGAGAGCCAGGCAGCACTAGGGCCCTTGTGGCCACAGAGCCGGCCCTCTGTCCATGTGGTGAGACGGGGTGTCACCCCCATCACTCTCAGACTCAGGCAGCTCCCATCTTGGGGGGCCTTGGCAGCCTCAAGCATGCAAGAAGGTTGCCCAGGATAATGGGGTGTGGAGCTTGGAGCCCAGCAGCTGCCTGGTGAGGCTGAACCACACAGAGGACTTACTGCAGGGCCAGGTCGTTGCTCTCCTGGGGCAGGAACTTGTAGAGTGCCACGTAGGAGTACATGGGCCCCACTTCCTTCCGCAGGAGCGCCTTGGGGGGCTGGGGAAGCATGGATCAGCTGCTCAGAGCGCCCTGCCTGGGAGCCACCAGGCGCCAGACCCTCCCTCCCTCGGTGAGCAGGAGCGCATGGGTGGGGCAGAAAAGTCCCCTGGTCTCCCTGCTGTGCCTCTGGTCCTGACGCAGCTGTCCTAGCACTCAGGACAAGTGTGGCAGCAGCGACAGGGATGGGGGGTGTCCTCCCAGCCCGCTGGGCCTCTCACCTGCTGCCCAGGGCTCTGCTCTTCCGCAGGCTCCGCGCTCTCCGCCAGGGCTGTGGACCCTGGGGGCGTGGGCGCGGCAGGCTGTGAGGGCCGCTCTGCTGGCTCCACTCCTCCACGCTCACCGCTATGGCCGGGCCGCTCCTCGGGGCTGCGGATGCTGCCCTCCCCGTCCTCCGTCAGCTCCTCCGCCAGCTCGCTCTGGGGCAGGAGGGCATGCAGGGCTCAGCCCAGCCACCAGGGTGCCCTCAGGCCCCTCCCCTAGGTGCCCACGTACCAGGCTCCGCGTGGGGGACTCGGATGTGCTGCTGAAGCTGGAGCGGTTCATCAGCGCCAGGGACGTGCCATAGCGCAGGGCCTCGTACACCGGGTCCACCTTCCCGCCGAGCCCTGCCGGGTACCCGCGCTCAAGGCCGGGACCTCAGCTGACACCAAGCCTGGCCGGGCCCAGGCATCCCCTCTCCTGCCGTCCAGGCCTTCTCATCCCTGTGGCTGCTCCACATTGCACTGTGGTGTCCAGGCGGAGACCTGGGTTCCTTGCTGCCCACAGCCACTGCAGCCTGTCCCCAGCCTCCCAGCTTCCAGAGTCCACACCCTGGATCTGGCCCCTCCAATCCATGCAGCAGCCGCAAGAAAATCACAAGATTTCTCTTAAAATAAGACTATCTCAGCCAGGCCTGGGTCTGTAATCACTGCGCTCTGGGAGGCTGAGGCAGGAGGATCACAGATTCTAGCCCAGCCTAGGCAATTTAGTGAGACCCTGTCTAAAAATAAAAATACAGCCAGGCGTGGTGTGGCACACCTGTAATTGCAGCAATCGGAAGGCTGAGGCAAGGGGATCACTGTGAGTTCAAGACCAGCCTGATCCTCACAGTGAGATGCACTGACTCAAAAATAAAGAAATAAAAACGAAAACCACAAAGGCTCTGGCTCCTGCAATGAATCGCTCAGTCGGTAAATGTGACCAGGCCTTGCCGGGACACTCACCGGTGGGTGGGGACTCTCTGCTGGCCGCACAGGCTGGTGGGGGGTCGTGCACCAGGAGCGGGGAGCTGAAGTTTCTGCGGAAGGAGGTGGACTGCGCCCGAGGAGGAGGCACAGGCAGAGGTCAGGGCGGGAAGCCCCCAGGACCCAGCTGGGAGCGCCCACCCCACTCACCATCTTGCCCGGGCACTGCTGGCAGGAGATCCCCTCAGAGCACCAGAGGTGGACGCTGGCCTTGCAGCCCTTACAGCGCAGGCCCTGCTTGGAGTTTCCTGGAAGATTTGGGGCCCGGCCAGGGGGAGGTCAGAGTGGGCTGGGCACGGGGAGGGCACGTAGGGTAGGGAGTGGGGCTGGGCACCCTCCACCCGCTGTCGGGGCGAGTGTCACGGAATCCCGAAGCCCCACAGCCACCCCCTGATCTCTTCTCTCCTTTCTGCAGTGCAGGGTGGAGCCCGGAACCGTACAGAGTGGACGGCACCCAGGAGAAGGGGCACAGTGAGGACCGGGTCAGCACCAGGTGGCAGCTCCCCATCGCCCACTGTCCCCCTGGGCCCAGCGCCTACCCACGATGAGCTGGTGGCACAGCTGGCAGGGGCTGGCGCGCTTGAAGATGTGCTCCTGGAAGCCGTGCCTCCTGGGGGGCTTGAGTGGCGCCAGGGGGCGCAGCGCCGGGCACGGGGAGGCCGCCGGGGTGGACGTGGGTGGCGGGGAGGGCGGGGGCAGAGGGGACGGGGGTGTGAGCAGCACCTCCGTGGGACGAATGAGCTCAGAGCTGGGGCGCAGGAAGAAGTTCTCCATGCTCTTGCTCCTCAGGATGGTCTTGAGGGACAGAGAGCGCTTGAGCCGCTGCAGCTGGGAAGGAGGGCACCGTGGGCGGAACGCCCTGTGGGTGCCCTTGGGGTGTCTCCCAGGGTGGCAGCGTGTGGACGGCAGAGCTGAGAGGCAGCACTGAAAACTGGGTGTGGTGGTACGTGCCAGTAATCCCAGCAGTGGGGAGGCTGAGACAGGAGGATTGCCCCCACCGTGGTGCCGAGTCTCCCCATGACCCCGCAGACCTGTCTTTGGCACCCCTGCCTCCCCCAGCCACATGCCAGGATGCTGGGACTTTTATGGCCCTGGGATCTCTGACATGCTTGTCCTCTTTGCCCTATGTGGTGAACACCTGTGTACCCTTCCGAGCCCTTCCCACAGCCCCTCTGCCTTGGATGCCAGCTGTCCCACAGGAACTCTCTCAAGCAGGCCTCACCCTCCTCTGCTGCCCACTGCCCTTGTGCCAGTCCTGACCTGCTATGCCCCCACTCAGAGAACTGTTGTCCCTGTTCTCATTCCCTCGGGAGACTGTGCCTTTTGGGAGAAAGGGTCTTGCTCAGTTGCCCTGGCTGGCCTTGAACTTGAGATCCTCCTGCCTCAGCCTCCTGAGTAACAGAGACTACAGGCATGTGCCTTCAGGGCCAGCGCTGTCCTCCAGGTCCCCAGGAGGGTGTCAGCCCACAGGAGGTGTTGGTGGACTGGCCACTGTTCACCCAAACACACCCAAATTGCCCAGAGTATGACCCGGAGACCCCTGACCCAGAGCCCTGAAGGTACCTCCCCTGCCCACCCCTTCCTGCCAGTACAGAAAGTGGCACAGGGGGCCCGAGATTTAGCTCAAGATTTAGCAAGAGCAAGGCCCTGAGTTCTATCACAGGTACAAACAAACAAACAAACAAAAAAAACAGAAAGAGACACAGGACTGGCGCTAGGCAGTGGGAGTTGGCCAGGGCTCCCGGCTCGCGTGCAAGGCAGCTGTGTGCCATGGCTGCCTGCCTGATGGCCGTGCCAGGGGGATGGAAGCGGTGGCCCTCAGTCCCCTGCAGGCAGCAGGCAGCAAGACTGGGGGAGGCAGAGACGCCTGGGCACAAGGCAGCCCGCAGTGTGCCAGCTGGAAGGTCAGGGCCTGGGATGTCTGGCACGGAAGCCACTCCATGCCTTCCAAGCCCAGCTTCCTGGACAGCAGCATGGGCACCCTGTGCATCTGCAAGGAGAGGGCCCAGCCTGGATGCCAGACAACGGAGCGGCGGCAGAGGCCCACAGGGCAATTAAGTGGTAGGCAGGGCTCTGGGGGTGCTCAGAAGCCCCAAGGTGCCCTCCACTGTTCTGCCCATAGAGCAGTGCCAAAACCAGGGAGATGTGCTGGGGTCAACAACAGTGAACCTGCTGCTTGAAGCAAAAGTTTTATTTCCCTGCCCTGAGCCTCAGTTTCCCCATGTCCGAGAGGAGGAGGCAAGACCAGATCTAGAGGACAGAAGGCTCTGGGGTCAAACCCACCTGGAAATGCATGGGCCCTGTCATTGTCAGGGGCTGGAATTCAGCTAGCCTTTATACCTACCTTCCTTCCTTTTTCTTTTCTCCCCCCCCCTCTTTTTTCTCCCCCTGCTTGCCTTGAGACAGGGTCTTGTATGTTGCCCATGCTGGCCTTGAACTCACTGTGAATCCAGGTTGGCTTCAAACTCACAGCAATCCTCCTGCCTCAGCCTCCCTAGTCTGGGGTGACAGGCATATGCTACCACACCCGGCTTTGAGCTACCATATCATATGCAGTATCCCATCCAGGCACCATCCTTCAAGGAGGTAACAATTACTGTCCCACTTTTCAGGCCATAAACCAAGGCTCCTGCAGTTCAATCGCTCACCCATGAATCCTCAGCAGATGAGGAGCAGAGTTGGGCCCCATTATGAGTCTCTGGTTGCTGAGTTCAAGTGGCAGGGAGCAATCTTGGTCCCCACCCTACTCTTAGCTGTCCCATGGGCTTGTCCGCTGGGCCAGACAAGGGCCCTAGGGCTATCAGCAACCTGAGGGACTGGCCGCCTAGAACTCGGTCACCTCCTGCCTTGGGAAGCAGGTGAGGTCTGGGGACAGCTGTGCCACCTCTGGGCTGCTGCAGTCGCCTATATGAAGTGCTTTCCTATGCACAGTGAATCCTGCCTTGCTGTGCCTTTTTCCCATGGGTCCTGCTCCCTCCCGGCCAGCACTGCCATAGCGCCCCAAATCTCCTACTCTCCAGCCTGTGCCCTTTCCTGGTACCCCTCTCCTCGGTCTCAGTGCCAAAGCCATCACTGCAGGGTACCAGGGCTTTGGAACACAATGTTCCCCAGCAACGGGGCAGCTCAACTCTGCCAGTCAAGTCCCTGTCTCAGCTGCAGGCCTCAGGTCCCAGGAGGGTGGAGCGTGGGAAGGGACAGTGTGCCTCCAGGGCGGCTGGCAGACGTCAAGGGATACGGCTAGAGGGCAGGACACGGGCTAGAGGGCTCTCCCAAGTGGCTTGCTGCCTGCCCACTCCAGAGACATCCGGCTTGGCCACTCGGACTAACTGTAACTCTGCCAGGCCAGCTCTCCCCACCTGGGACCCCCACACCTTCCCCTGCTCCCACCAGCTTTCTTGCTGAGGGACTCAGGCCTCATCGTGCGAGAAGTTCCTGGTGCCCTGGTTCACTGGCCCGGCTGCATCCCAGCCCTTCACAGGCTCTGAGGCTTGTGCCCCAGGTCTGATCCCCCGGGAAAGCCCTGCCTGTTTCCTCCTTACCCACTGCCCCCGGAGGCCCCTTCTCTCCTCAGTGTCCCACAGCAGCTCCAAAAGGGCACCAGGCAGCTGGCAATGAGCGGGCATTGGCACAAGCTGACTCAGAGGCAGACCTGGCATGGCAGGGTCTTCCCAGGTGGCACTAAGGTGGGGGATGGGCTGCTGGGAGGAGCGCGGCCCCCTAGTGAGTTTGGCTGCAGAACTGAGCCCCAGCCTTTGGGACAGCAGAGGCCTGGACTTTGGCTGCCACGTGATGCCTGAGGGGGCTCCAAGTGGATGGAGAAGTCTGGAATGCTGGCTCCTACTGGACTTTCCTCCCACCAAGCTGGGTGGGCACCTCCCAACCCCTGGACTCTGGAGGCCCAAGCTTCTTTGGGCCAGCAAGGGTGACATTGGAGAGTCTTTGGGCTGGGAAGGGGCAGGTGTGGCTATGCCAGGCCGGAACCCCCCACCTCGGCTGAGTCAGCAGCCCACTGAGTGCTGGGGTGGCGCTGCCCAGAACGCCTGCCTGCACCTGGGCAGCTCCTGGGGAGGGGATCTGCCCAGGGTGAGCAGGGGCAGCTGGGAAGGTTGGAGGGCACTGGACCTCAGGGCATAGCTCTGAGCTGGGACCCTGCCCGATGGTGCTGCAGCAAGTACTCCCGGAAGTCATCCTCCCTGAGAGGGGCTCAGTAAGGTGGCCACTCAGCTGGGAGGCCAGAGCCCATTTTCAGGAGGCCAGGAAGGTCCTTCGGGCATGGATTCTGGCCAGGTCCCCAGTTCAGGGAAAGGGGAGCTACCTGGGGTCCTCAGCCACACCCCTCCAGAGCCCCAGCCAGCCCCCCACCGCTCCCTCATGTCCTTGACCTTGAATTAACCTCTTATACGGAGGGTGGGAGGAAAGGAAGCAGGGCAAGGGGACACCCAAGACACCATGCGGCCCTCACACAATGGGGCGGAGGTCTGGCTCTGAAGTCGGGGGCAGGCAGGGGGCGCAGCCCCTCTTTCCCGGGTGGCTTTGGCGGAACTTGTAGAGCGCCCGGAACTCTAGAGGTGGGATGTGAAGAGGGGCCGGGCCTCCCCCAACCCCTTCCAGCGGGGAGTCTGGGCCCTGCCAGCCTTCGCAGAGGAATAATTTATTCATTGTGACTCCCGCAGGAGCAGCTATCATACATAATTAGGGTTAATTATGACATTCACTAATTACGACTTCTCCGTCCGCTCTGCCCCATCCCGGCTCCCAGGTGGCGCGGCGCAGCCTCTGGCTGCTCCGGAGCGGCAGACACGAACCCGCG